CCAAAATGATGAAGATATTGAAAAGCTTTCAAGTTTTGTTTTTGCAAATTTTAGAAGATATGTATATGTGATTTATATATGCACAAAAACACAAGGAATACAGAGCTAATATACCAACTCTATATTTAAGTACATAACGCAGATGAACATTTTTTTTTTGCTATAATAAATGTTTTTGTGCACTTAGTATTCCTGCATGTGCACTTGTATGTTGGTTTTTTTTTTGCTTAAGTTCACAAAAATATTATTTCGAGGCAGAAGCAGGTGAGCTCGAGTGCAACTCGTAGCTACCACCAGCCCGCCATGTCAATGGTATATCCAGGCCTGGGTACATCCCAGTTGTAAATTATCACCTTCCAGTAAAGAAGACTATAAATATCTAGATCGACATGATTTTGAATTAGCATGACACACATTCCTGTTATTTTCCTTTCAAATCTGATGACATGGCACAAACGTTGGATATATGTGATGATCACCTGAGTTGTTCTATGGTGATCAGTGTTTCCTTTTCCCCATGTGTTCCTTTCATGGAAGCTAACCTGAATAGAAGAATAACTAAGTCTGATTATTTCATTTATTGTCCCCTCAGATGCATGCCGGTGACGACGAAGCAGGACAGGGTGTTCGACAAGGTCTTTCGGGCTATGAGGAACGACCAGGATGGTATCATCGTCTACCGGGATGGCACCCTTGACGAAGCCACCTTCGCCGCCGTCTGTAGTGAGCACACCCCCGTCGAGGATGTCGGGTACCACGTCATTCCTGGCAGTGTTTGCAGCGAGTTCGGCTACCTTCGGCATAGCAAGATCCATGGTGGCAACTTCGACGAGGAGACCTGCAAGGGCTGCCCAGGCCACAAGGATGTCGTCCGGCTCAAGGACCTCTCCCCCAGATCCTGCAGAAACATGTGGGTCTAGGCGAGATTGGTCTCGAGGATTTCCGTTATTATCGATGGAGATGAAGATATCCGTTCTGAAAAGTAGATGGGGAGAAGTAGCCAGCTAGTGGCTTGTTAGCGAGGCTTGAGACCTGTGGATTATATATGGTGGTGGCTGTTGTGTTGTGCCTATTGATTCGTTTTTCTCCATGTTTTGTGTGATCTGCTGTATGCCTGCATCATAAGGCAATAAGTTTTTTCAGCACAATAAGGTTTATAGAAATGTCTGTAGCTGGATTTGTGATCAGGAAGAAAATAAGAAAAAACCTAGTGGTTTAGACATTTACAGTTATATGCTATCTATCAAATTCTTCTGTGTTTATCTCTGATCATTTTGTTAACAGGTATAATTACTCTGCTGATGGGGCAGCTTTTTGTTGGATTGCATATCATTAGCCTTTTCTCTGAAGTGGCTTTGCATTGTTAGATTGGAATCAATTGAAAGCAAACAATTGACTACCGTTCAACATGTAGAACAAAATGAAGATGATGTGATGATTTCAGAGCCCATGATCTCTGCTAGTAGCTTATCATGCCGGCGAGGCCAAGGCAAGAAATACCAAACTTGCACCGTGGTCCATTTGCTGTCGATCTCACACGGCTCCTCTTTAATTTTCCATCCCATGGCTTCTTTTACCTTTTGCGCTTTTGCTCTTTTTGTAACCATTAGGTCCGTCCTGCAGATCTCCAGACATTCCAAACTGTATTCCAGGTCCAGCTAGCCAGGGGACACCTCAAAAGCAAGCTTAGCTTGGACTCGTCAATGGCGTCCATGTCATCACCAGGCCAAGATCCTCCACGACCAGTGGTTCTTCCTTGAACCAGATCGGTCTGTACGTGACTGTAGCTAGCACATGGTGACATTGAACGCCGAAAGAGCCATGCACATATTTTTGCACCTCCTTGATGCAACTGATCAAGGCTGAAATCAACATTGAGAGTTGAGCTCGGAGATTACTAAACTGTCTGGCAGCAGTTAGTGAGACGCCTAGCTAGGCCTCGATCGGTACGATCGACCACCGGTCGCGCTCTTCTCCATGTAGACCTAAGCCCCCTTTAGTAAAGCAGCTTAGCTAGGTCTTGTAGCTAATAGCTTCAAAACACCAGGGAATCTCTTGGGCACCCCTCTTTAACCTTTTCCCTTCATCACATCCTGCCGGTGGCTCTTTTTGCTTTTACCAAACTTGTTCACCTGCTGCTTCTGCTATAAGAGCCCTGCACCGTCGGCCTCATCTTGGTCCCTTCTTCTTCCTCTTCTTCCCATCGTCTCGAAAGTGGTGTACGCAAGATCGATCGTCGGTTCCTCCATGGAGGTATGTCTTGCTAATTAATCGCACTCTCAAGGCAATCTAAATGTGCCTCTTTTGGTTGTTGTTCATTTAGAGGTTGTAATTCAGGGAGGTTGCATTAGTTTCTAATTTCTCTCTATGAGATGCATCGATGATGAATACGCGTTTTTCAAGATGAATGTGCTCCATCCTACATGTACCCTTTTAACATATCTGCAATTCTCATTGGAGCATTTGACAACATTATATCTATAGCAATCATATGCAAGTGACTGCAAGTTCAATATGACTCATATGACCCTACACTGCCCTGAAAACATCATAGACATAGGTGGGCAGGTTCATTACTACTTCTCCCTCAGAACATATTCATGCAAACAGAAACTAAGAGGACAATTAGTAAAAAAAAAACATTGTCCACTGTATATTTTTCATGTACTTTTCTCATGATGATCGAGTGCATGTGCATGCATGCGTAACCAGCGCTCATTCCCTGATTTCCCCCATGCACGCAGAGCACCGAGCTGAAAGTGGAGATGGTGGCGCTGCATGAGAAGAGGGTACGGAAATGCCTGTCCAAAGTGAAAGGTAAAAACTCTCCTAAACTAAAGTCATTTCATTGCACCCATCATCCATCCATGGAGAGATCTGAACAACCTGATGATGCGTCGATCCTTTCTCCTTTTAACAAAGCTAGTCATGCATGGATGCCTTTCTCACTGTAGCTAGCTATGGTTGAATGATCGGCATGGTTGTGTGTGCAATGACCAGAGAAGCAATACGACTCTTCCTCTATCTCACAAATTGTTGATGGATTGGTGTATGTGTGCAGGGGTGGAGAGGGTGGAGGTGGAGGGGAGCATCCAGAAAGTGGTGGTGACCGGGTATGCGAACCGGAACAAGATCCTCAAGGCGCTCAGGAGGGTGGGGCTCAGGGTGGAGCTCTGGTCGCCGCGGAACGAGCTGCTCAGCGCTTACGCCGCCGGGAGCTTCGCCTTCAACAACTACGGCTTCTTCTGATCCATCTCATCCGGCGAGGTGCATGCCAGTTACATGGTGATGTCGGCGACGTTGAACGACCATACATAAACCGGATCGAATCTGGGAGCTTGCTTGGTGTCTCTTCTTTCTGTTTTTCCTTTATTTCTGCTTCGGATGATTTCTTTTTCCTCTCACGTGTATATACGTCACATTTTTTTTTCTACTTTGAGGGTGGTCAACCAGGCATATGTGTAAAATGTCCTAAAAAAAATGTCCTCAAGGCATGGGATTAAGTTTGGTGGCAAAGATGCATGATGCAAGATTCCTGTGTTACCATGTTGAGAGATCGGTGTGGTTGCTTGATCCAAACAACCAATCACAGGAAAGAAAAGTAGAAAAGAGATTATCCAAATCCGTTACTCAAATGATTTTTTTTTTGTGGGGTTACCTGATTTTTTTATGAAATCACTAAAAATCTGACATCGGACTTTTAGTGATCGGGATCGAACGTACCCTGGACCATTGGATCCAAACACGAATCTTAGTGCAGGTGAGACCAACCATGTCATCGATTTTTTTCGTTTGGAAAAGCAAGGGGCGATTGTGAACACTTCCATCTCGTTTATACATTTATCTCCTCACACCCAGTGCCCACCCCCAAGCAAACCACCATTGTGATGAGGCTGTCATGCGCCAGCGGCTGCGTCGTTCCTATGGCGGGCGGGTAGCGGAGAGGAGCTCCACCGGACCCAACATCGGGGTGTCGTGCGGTGAAGGTGAGGCAGGCTGTGATGTCTTCGCCGGCGTCGCGGATTGAGGCATGGGAGAGGTGGCGGAGGGAGATTTTTTCTAGATGGTACTTAATAATGCTGAAGTTTGAATTATGTACATAGACAAGCTTATTTTGACATGTTTGGCTTTATCATCCGTTTTGTTTATTTTGACTCTCGTGCGACCGTTTAAATACTAAAAGTGGCCAGTCGGCGGCTTCCGCCCCCTTGTATATAATACAAGGGGCGTTTCTACAACATTTGAACCCGTAGCCGACGTCTCGGTGCCCAGAGGCAGTATATGTTAGCATAAACCAGGCAATCGAACTATTTTCGGTTTTACAACATTCACTTAGTCATAGGAGCTTGACTGTGGGGGCGAGTAACTAGCCCCGGATGTTGAAGTGGTCGGCCATGTCGAGGTTAAACCACTAATCACTTCGGCTCATTTGACAACAGCCCATCGTTTAACACCGATAACCTCTATCGATTTGTAATTTGACACAGTCATCGGATCGCTGACCAGTTTGCGTCTATCATGACAGTCAATTTTTGCCTTTCTCCACTGAGGCACTTTGACCATTCGAGCTGGAAGCGCAATCGCAGTGGTTCTCCCTTTACACCCTTAGCCGGACAATGCGGAAACGTAAGGGATAAGCACATGAGCCGAGCAACCCAACTACATGTCGAGCTCGTCAAAAAAACTTTGAAAAATATATAAGAGGGAGGGTTTATACATGGCATCTGTAGTTGGGTTTATAGTCCTTGCTTTGCCATGTCGCATGTCTGCGCCTCTGTGCTGTTTACCAGCTCTTCCTTGTCTATCGCAAGGTTCATCAGTACTGCGTGCTACATCACCGCTGCTGTGCCTAATGCATTCGAATGGCAGATCCTTTGAAGAGGTTGTAGCAAGTAGCCATGGTCGAACAACTTGATGCTTTTGTTGAAGCCATTCCTGGTGGGCCTATGACAGTGCCTTGAGAATAACCAGGATGTAGTTGGGCCACCGTCCGGTTGAGCCGCGCGGTATGCCCTCTGATTGTGCTCCACAGCCTCCCATGGAATTTTAAGTGTGAAGTTGTGAACCCAAGGTACGTAGTTCTCGATCAGCGGGGGAGAGCTGTGGAGTGCGTACCCCTATTTGGAGGTACGACCTGACTGACGGGAGGGTAAAGAAACACCTCTGATACGCTTTGAAGAGCCCTCGGTAGGGTCTTTGACAGAGTGATTTCCCGTTAGATCCCTCGGTAGGGTTCATGACGAGACCGAAAGTACCGGAACGGAGTCTTCACACATAGTTTACCCAGTTTCGGGCCTCCGAAGAGTAATACCCTATGTCCTGCTTTGTTTTGGTATTCATGGTGAGGGAATACCTCGTGCACATGATTACAATAGTGTATGATATGTCTACCAAGAGTTTTTTTTCTACATTGGATCCCTAATGAGGGCCTTAGACCTCCCTTTATATAGACAAGAGAGGTCTAGGGTTTACATGGAGAAGATACCAGAACGATCTGGCCGCCGCCGCTTGTCTTGGGGCATACGTTAGTCCACCCTCCCCATCTTAGGGTTCATTGATGCTCTCTGGGCCTGGTGGGCCCTAGTCAAAGTCGAGGTCGGGCTCCTTTATGTTAGGCACCCCAGGTATAGGACCCCGCCAGGAGCCCCCGAGCGTGGTGGAGGTTGCGAGCATCTGGGCTCAGAGATCTCTGTCGGGCTCTTCTTCTCGTGCCTCCGGCCTCCTAAACTCCCCGCTGGGAAGTCATGTCCTTCATTGCGTTGGTGATGTCGTTGTGTTATTTTTGGATGATTGGGCTGAACATAGCCTACCAGGTCGGCCCACTGGTCACGCGGTTATCATCTCGGGCATGGTTTTTGTTCCAGCCTCCTTAAATATAACGGTCACGCATCCATATTGGGGTTCGCCTCACCCTTCTTTT